GTCCCCATCATTTGTAACAGTGGGAGGAATAGTGCCCCATCATTGGTATTAGAGGGTGGAATAGATGCCCCAATCATTGGTATCAGTGGGATTTTGGGGGAATAGTGTCCCATCATTGGTTGTCCAGTGGGAGGAATAGTGCCCCATCATTGGTGTCAGTGGAGGAATAGTGCCCCATCATTGTATCAGTGGGAGGAATAGTGCCCCATCATTGGTGTCAGTGGGAGGAAATAGTGTCCCCATCAATGGTATCAGTGGGAGGAATAGTGCCCATCCATTGGATCAGTGGGAGGAAAGTGCCCCATCATTGGTGTCAGTGGGAGGAATAGTGCCCCACTCATTGGAGTCAGTGGGAGGCACTAGTGTCCCATCATTGAGTTGTCAAGTGGGAGGAATAGTGCCCCCATCATTGGTGTCAGTGGGGGAATAGTGCCCCATCATTGGTATCAGTGGGAGGAATAGTGCCTATCATTGGTATCAGTGGGAGTGAATAGTGTCCCATCATTGGTGTCAGTGGGAGGAATAGTGTCCCATCATTGGTGTCAGTGGGAGGAATAGTGTCCCAATCATTGGTGGTCAGTGGAGGAATAGTGCCCCATCATTGGTGGTCAGTGGGGAGGAATAGTGTCCCATCATTGGTGTCAGTGGAGAATAGTGTCCCATCATTAGTGTCCAGTGGGAGGAATAGTGCCCCATCATTGGTTATCAATGGGGAAGATAGTGCCCCATCATTGGTATCTAGTGGGAGAAATAGTGCCCCAATCATTGGTGTCAGTGGGAGGGATTTAGTGCACCATCATTGGTATCAGTGGGAGGAATAGTGTCCCATCATTGGTGTCAGTGGGCAGGAATAGTGCCCCATCATTGGTATCAGTGGCAGGAATAGTTTTCCCCATCATTGGTATCAATGGGAGGAATAGTGCCCCATCATTGTAACTGGTGTGGGGGTGATCGGGGACACTGTAACATGGTGTAGTGGTGATCGGAGACACTGTAACTGGTTTGGTGGTGATCGGGGACAGTGTGACTGGTGTGGAGGTGATCGGGGTACACTGTAACTGGTGTGGGGGTGATCAGGGACACTGTAACTGGTTTGGTGGTGATCAGGGACACTGTAACTGCTGAGGATTTCCCCTCCTTCTTGACCAGGCCATTTTTTGTGATACGGCGAGTGTTACTTTAATTGACAATTGCGCGGTCATACAACTCTGCACCCAAATGAAATTTACATCCCTTTTTTTTCCCACTAATTAAGCTTTCTTTTAGTGGTATGTATGATCCTATTGCTGCATTAAAGTCCCACTGGGGTTCTTTGGGTACATCTTTCGGTGGTATTTGATCGGCTGTGTTATGTGTTTTTAATATTTTGTGCTATAACAAAAAAAAAAGACAAGTTTGAGAAAAAAAAACAATATTTTTGTCCTTTTTGCTATATTAAACAATGTTCAGTTATTAAAATCAAATTTTGTCATAAATTTCGGCCAAAATGTATTCTGCTCTGTGTCTTTGCTAAAAAAAATCCCAATGTGTTTAAATTAATTGGTTTATGTGAAAGTTATAGTGTTTACAAATGGAGGTATATATACTGGGATTTTTTTTTCTACTAGTAATGGCAGCGATCAGCGATTTATGGCGGGACTGCGGTGGACATTCTGACACTGGGGGGGGGAACTGACTTGATGTCACTGACATTCGCAGTGGCACCAATACAGTGATCAGTGCTAAAAGAAAAAAAGCACTGACACTGTACTTAATGGCACTGGGCAGGAAGGGGTTTAATATGATGGGCAATCAAAGGGTTAACTGTGTGCAGGGAGTGTTTTTACTATGGGGGCGGTGTGTTGGTGCTTCACTGTAAGCGCACTGCTCTGGATGGCTGTGCTGTGCAGTGTGCCCGAGCTGACAGGGACGGAGGACTGTTAGTAAACAAAAACAGTCCTCCTCCCCGATGGCGATGACCAGGTGCCGGGGGTAATAACCAGCCGGGACCTGGATGATTGACAGCCGTGGCTGGCAGGGCGCGTGAACGGGGCTCGCACACTACACCCCCTACCCAGAAATGCTAAATCACTTATATAAACGTGATTATGCGCACCCCTTGCCATCCTGTTAGCAGTATATTCTGCTATAGGGTGGTCGGGAAGCAGTTTGAAATTGCTGGTAAATGACAGCTTTTGACCCCTTACTTCTCTTTGTAAACAAACAGCCGAGGATTCCCTTCATCTACACCAAATCCTTATAACCCCAGATTAAGGTCCTGTATAGATATGAATGGGTCCTCTATCCTAAAAATCCGTACCAGAACTCTATCCTCTCTGATGGAGAACCTTGTCCTTGATTAGGACAAGGTTCTTATTCCTCACAAACCTGGCCCGTTTGGTTGTGGAGATCTGTAGGCAGAGGGTTATTGGAATCTGGAAATACCCTTTAAAAATATGGAGCCCTCAGATCCCATTTCTTGATGTGAATGACTATAGAATAAAAAAGTACCCCTACTCTTCTTATCCAAATGCTGCATTATGCATTGATCTACCATCCAAGCTGTCCAGACAGTGTAGTCACCTGCTGACTTGGCATTCAGAGTATAAAGTGTAAGAAGACAATGAGTTTCCCAAGCAATGTCTCTGTGCCCAGCTAACATTAACTGAGGAAACATGGAAGAAACTGCTAGAACTGAGCTAACTTGCACTAAACAGGAGGGGAGGACAAGGAGAGAAAGTAGATCCTATCTGTAAAGAAGTTGTAATAGCCCCAAACCACCACTAGATGTCAGCATATATAAAACAATAGTAACCTGATTCAGTTCAATACAACACCAGAAAAAATACAAATAGGTGGGATAGAACCCCTACTCACTCACACTCTCATCCCTATTCATGTAGATTCTGGGGTGCATCTGGCAGCAATCCTAGTTACAGTAGCACCATCTTAGTTGGTCCCTTTCTTTGAGTTGACTTATAGCGAAAGGTCATCATAAAACTCTTGGGATGAAAATTAAAAGAGGAAAAATAGAAATTATTATTATACGGTATTTATAAAGCGCCAATAGTTCGCTCAGCGCTGTACATTACAAAGGGGGACAGAACATGTGACAGAACAATACCAATACAATGCAAAACATGAGGGGATTGAGGGCCTGCTCTTTCGAGCTTACAATCCAGGAGGGAGGGGATGGTGGTACAGGAGGAGATAGCTGTGGGGGATGGAGTGGTAGGAAGAGTGGAGGAGGTCGGCAAGTTAGCAGGGGGCGGGGTAGGCTTCCCTGAAGAGATGGGTTTTTCAGGGTGCGCCTAAAGGAGAGGAGAGTAGGTGATAATCTGATGGGTTGGAGGGCAGGGAGTTCCAGAGGATGGGTGACACCCTGGAGAAGTCCTGGAGGCGGGCATGGGAGGAGGAGACCAGGGAACTAGATAGAAGGAGGTCTTGTGAGGAGCGGAGTGTGCGTGTTGGGCGGTACTTGGATATTAGGTCGGTGATGTAGTTCGGGGCAGTATGGTGGACAGCTTTGTACGTCAGTGTTAGGATTTTGAATTTGATCCGTTGCACAATCGGAAGCCAGTGGAGGGATTGGCAGGGGGGGGGGTGGCGGAAACGGAGCAGTTGGAAAGGTGAATGAGTCTGGCAGCCGTATTCAGGTTGGACTGAAGCGGGGATAGCCAGCGGCGAGGCAGGCCAGTGAGGAGGGGAGTTGCAGTAGTCGAGTCGTGATATGATGAGGGAGGGATGAGCTGTTTAGTGGTTTTCTGGAGTTAGGAACGTGCGTATTTTGGCGATGTTGCGGAGGGAGGTGAAGTCTGCACGAGTTTGTTAAAGATTGGACTTGGGGCTGGAAGGATAGGTTGGAGTCCAGAATGACACCAAGTACTCTGGCCTGCGGGGCGGGTTTTATGGTGGCATTGTTGGATGTGACGGAGAAGTCAATGGGGGGCGGTGTCCGGGCTGGGGGGAAGACAAGAAACTCGGTTTTGAAGAGGTTCAGTTTAAGGAAGTGGAGCGATATCCAGTCTGATATGTCGCTCAGTAGGTGTGTGATTCGGGCAGAGACTGAGGGGGTGAGGTGGGGGGTTGAGAGATAGATTTGTGTGTCGTCGGCATAGAGGTGGTAGTTGAAGCCGTGAGAGTGTATGAGTTGGCCAAGGGGAGGAGGTGTAGATGGAGAAGAGAAGGGGCCCGAGGACAGAACCTTGAGGGACCCCAACAGAGAGAGGGGGAGTGAGGGGGAGGTGGTAGCATTATAGGTAACGCTGAAAGAGCGTTGTGACAGGTAGGATGAGAGAGCCATGGAGGAGAGAGCAGAATCTCTGAGGCCGAGGGAGTGTAGTTTTTTGAGAAGGAGGGGGTGGTCGACTGTGTCGAAGGCCGCAGAGAGGTCAAGGAGTAGGAGCACTGAATAGTGGCCATTAGCTTTGGCGGTTAGCAGGTCGTTGGAGAGTTTGAGTAAGGCGGTTTCGGTGGAGTGTAGGGGACGGAAGCCGGACTGTAGGGGATCGAGGAGGTGGTTGTCATTGAGGTGAGAGCTTAGGCAGGTGTAGACGAGGCGCTCAAGGAGTTTAGATGTAAATGGGAGCAGGGAGATGGGTCTGAGGTTGTTCGAAATGCTTATCTTTGCACCCAAAAGTACTTCTCCAAGCCCCCTCCAGTGCTGCTTCTCACTAGAAGACTAGGCCTATGGTCACTTGTTCTATGGTAAAGGGTCTACAAGTCTGAACTTTGAACCTCCTGATTATCAGAGATCACATGACCCAGTGCCTAGCCTTGTGGTTGTATGAAGAGCATGTCCCTCCCAGTCCCTATTGGTTCCTGCTCTTCTGGCAAGGCTGAGAAAATGTAGAAGTGACCTGGGGGGAGGACCAAAGGACCTTTTACTGAAGAGGGGAAGTCCCAGCTGGTTGGGACATCTACAGAGATCATGTGCTCACTAAAACCTACCTGATCCAGATGGAATCTTGATTTATGTGAACTCACTCTCTCATATCTACTGATCGTGTTTTTATATATTTTCCAGGACACGCCATGGAGAAACCCTCAAAGGATCATCTCACTTTATCTCCGGTTTGTAAAATGGAAGATGAGGACATCACAAGAGGTTGTGCCGGAGAAAAGACAATGAGCTCAGCTATGGATGGTGGACTTCACAGTGTGGATGGACCATCAAATCCCTCTGACCCTGAGCAACCTCCTACTGGGAGGGATGGGGCTGGAATTCAGGGGGGGAGAGGAGAAACTTTCCTGTCCTGAATGTGGGAAAAGTTTTGACTCTGAATTAAGACTTACCGTACATCAGAGATCTCATGTGGGTGTGAAGCTACATTCCTGTTCTGAATGCGGCAAAGGTTTTTTCACACAAGTCCAGTCTTTCCATACATCAGAGATCTCACACGGGGGGGAGAAGCCACTTTCCTGTTCTGAGTGCGGGAAATGTTTTTCACAGACATCCACTCTTTACACACATCAGAGATCTCACACGGGGGAGAAGCCGTATTCCTGTTCTGAGTGTGGGAAATGTTTTTCACGGAAGTCCAATCTGCACAGACATCAGCGATCTCACACAGGGGAGAAGTTATACTCCTGTCCTGAGTGCGGGAAATGTTTTTTACGGAAGTCCCATCTTGATACACATCAGAGATCTCACACGGGGGAGAGGCCGTATTCCTGTGCTGAGTGTGGGAAATGTTTTTCACGAACTTCACACCTTTACAGACATCAGAGATCTCACAGAGGGGAGAAGCCGTATTCCTGTTCTGAGTGCGGGAAATGTTTTTCACAGAAGTCTCATCTTTATAGCCATCAGAAATCTCACACGGGAGAGAAGCCACTTTCCTGTCCTGAGTGAGGGAAATCTTCCTCACTGAAGTCCTGTCTTCCTGTACATCAGGGATCCCACACAACCCTGGAGGTGTATTAGTGCCTTGGGTGCGGGAAATGTCTTCTAGATGAATGTTGCTGGACATCCCAGCTCTCGTGGGGAAGAAGCACACCCTGATATACACCTCAGATATACTCCATGGCTGATCTTCATCATGGAAGAAACAGTTCATAAGGAGATCAGAGGTCCCCAAAGACATGGATGAAGTGTGGGACCGCGTTGGCCATTGATAGCAGGAGAAGAATAAAAATCATCACCTTTCAGTGACTGAATACATTTTGTGGTGGAAAATTTTGTAACTAGAGGTCGATTTTTAAAAAAAATTTTTTGGACAAATGTTTCAAGCATTCATCCGGCCATCATGAATTTATATAGCGCTCAGGACAAGTCCTCTAAAGTGTTATATACAGAAATAACCCCCAGTAACTGGAAGCAACTTACCCCCCAGACAAGGAAGATATATATATTTCCAGCGTTCTGATCCTCCAATGATAAATCCTCTAATAATCTCCTTTAGCAGTCATATCCACCCACAACCAGTCTAAATGTCCATAAAATGGTGCACTCCAGTTCATCAGTTGTCCCAGTTAAGTGCAAAAATCTCTTCCAATCACTTGACAACACCTCCGTAAAAAATACTCAAAAGTTGGACTGTCGGTGGGCATGGCTTGGCAGCAGAACAAGATGGCCACGTGAGTCTATATCTGTGCTCTGCCAGGAAGCACGTTCGCACTGGACATACATCCCCTCCCGCCGCTGATTCAAACTGCTGCTGGGTAACCGCTTGACACACTCCGGACTATGTCCTGCATGAAGAACCCAAACCAAGGGCCCCGCTTAATGACTTCTTCTCCTCTGCTGGCATGGCACAGCAAGATGGTGTTGGCCCAGGACACTACGCTCCCTCCTCCCCGCTGTAGCTGCCTGAGAGTGCTGAGGAGTACTTGGACATGGAGGAAACAGAATCAGAGCCCCTTGCCACCTCCTCTCAGATGAAGAAAAGTGGAGCTTTCGGCTCCACCTATAAAACCTCTGGTGAGTAAGAGACAACATTGGGCTGAGGCTGAGGACACCTGAGGCTCCTGAGGATGATTGCATGGCTATGCCTGCATTTGATTGCCCAGCCACTGAACATACTTTGAAGGATATGCTCCGATCTTTACAGAAAGGCTTACAGAGGGAATTGTGTACCTCCCTTTTTACATATCCAGTGCCAAACCAATCAACCCTCAAGAGTTGGTTCTGGAGGAAAAGAAATGTAATCTCCAAACACGGAAAGGTTTCTTCACAGTAAGAGGTGTGAAAAGGTAGACTCCCTCAAGAGTTGGTTGTGGCCAGCTCAGTGGATTGCTTTAAAAAGTCCTGGATTCTTTCTTGGATACACAGAATATAACTTGATAATAACATTTATAGGTAAAGTTGATCCAGGGAATATCCGATCGCCTCTCGGGGGATCAGGAAGGATTTGTTTTCCTTGCAGGAGCAAATTGGATCATGCTTTGCTAGATTTTTTTGGATTCCTCTGGATCAACTGTGGGTGTAGGATTATAACTTTTTTTTTTTTTTTAAATGTTTGAACTGGATGGACTTTTTTCAGCCAGACTAACTATGTAATATTAATGAACGCACTAATCATGTTGAACGACAAATGGGGAAGTACACAGCAGCTCATAATAAGATGAAGAAGCGTATAGAGGAGATTCAGTTTCTAAAAAACAAGATAGCTAACTTAAAGGATCACTCTAGACCAGGGGTGTCAAACTGGTGGCACTTAAGCTGTTGTGAAACTGCAAGTCCCATCATGCCTCTGCCTTTGGGAGTCATGCTTCTAACTGTCAATCTTGCAATGCCTCATGGGACTTGTAGTTTGGCAACAGCTGGGGGGCCACCAGTTTGACATCCGTGTTCTAGATGAAGCAATATCAAAATTAAGGTAATTCCCGAATCCATCAAACCCGCTGATTTAACAATGTATGTGCAGTAGTTATTTTCATGCACACCTCCCTTCTCTCTCACATCAATATAATTGTGCACATCGAACCAAAACATCTACAGACCTCAATACCTCAAGATGTTTTGACCCAGGTACACTTTTCCCACCTCAAAGAACAACTCCTCGCAGCAGCCAGATCTTGTAATTTACCTGAGCCTCATACACACTTCTCACTGTACGCTGATTTTTCAGCCACCACAGCGCAGTAAAGGAAAGAGTTTGCTCCCATCACTCAAACATATTCTACAAATGGGGGTACCCCACACAAAAATCCTGACTACCTACCAAAATCAGATTGTGCCTCCACTAAGGCCAAAAGAAGACTTTTAAGCATCTTCACAACTGGGGCCTCTCATCTGTCCCCCTTCCCCCCCAACTTCAGAGTTGCCAAACTAAACCACCTGCCAATGTGCTACCTACGGCAGGAGGGACATGATTTTCCATAACGCCCTCTTGCGGGTCCGCACTCCTGTTTCACAGTGAAAAACACAAGAACCAAAAGTGACAATGAATTAATGTGTTTGTTCCCCAATGCCAGAAGTGTGCCCAGCACAATAGGTGAGTTGGAAGGTTTGGTGCATGAAGAGAACTAGGATTGAATTGGTATTGCTGAATCTTGGCTTCATTCCTCACATGACTGGGCCATTCATATTCCTGGCTAGGTTCTCTTTCGGAGAGACGGGGGGGGAAATAGGAAAGGTGGTGGTGTCTGTCTCTATGTGAGAAGTGATCTCAGAGCGAGTGTGAAAGAGGACCTAGTTGATGGAGAGTGTGATGAGGCTGAAGGATTACGAGTGGAACTGCACATGGGGGGCAGTACTACAAAGGTCATCATTGGAGTTTGTTATAGGCCTCCCAGTGTTAATGAGGAGGTGGAGACTTAGCTTGCACAGATGGAAAGGGCTGCAAGGGCTGGGACAGTGATAATAATGGGGGATGGTAACTACCCGGAAAGTGACTGGAGTAATGGTACTGCAGGAACAGTTAAAGGGCAAAAATGTATAAACCTACTACAGGACAATTTTATGGTACAGTTCATAGAGGCCCCAACTAGGAATGATGCTCTACTGGACCTGGTAATCTCAAATCATGAAGAGCTTATTACTAGTGTCCATATAAAAGAACATCCGGGTAGCAGTGACCAGAACATGATTTCATTTATTGTTACCTGTAAACAGCGAGCACATACGGGCAAAATAAAAATGCTCAACTTAAAGAGAGCAAATTTTCCAAGATTGGGAGCTGCTCTCCAAGACTTAGACTAGAAGGAGATATTGGCATCATTGAACACAAACACAGAAATGGGAGTTCTTCAAAAAGACTGTATATGACCACACTGCAAAATATATTCCCATGGGCAACAAGTATAAAAGGCTAAAAACCAAACCTATGTGGCTTACGGCCAAAGTTAAAATAGTGTTTTTTTTTTAAATATAATCAAAGAACGCTATCATCATTTAAACATTACAAAGAAACTAACTGTAACAGAATATGTAAAAAGGAAATAAAGGTGCACAAATTGAAAATGAACGACAGATTGCAAAAGATAGCAGGACCAACCCCAAAAAATTCTTCAGATCTATTAATTAGTAGAAAGGTCTGGTCCCAGCATGTAGGCCCTTTACAGAACCATCTAGAGGGGGTGACTGGGGACAAAGAGAAGGACAATGTATGAAATCCCTTCTTCAGCTCTGTGTATACAAAGGAGCATGGGGGGGCTCTTGTCCATAATGGGGGGTGGTACTGACACAGCTCCAGATGATCCACATTGGGTCACAATTGATATGATCCAGAAATAGACAGAATAAAGATAGGTGCTAGGATTATTTAGGTTTAGTGCTGGTTGTGTTCAGTAGAGCTGTGTGTGTTTTGGTTAATTAAATTTGGCTTGCCTTACCAGTAACCAGCGTGCCTACTATTGATTAGTTAGGTCTGCTGCTGAGAACACAGGAGAATATGATCTCCATGTATAATACATAAGGGGGGATATGATCTCCATGTATAATACATAAGGGGGGATATTATCTCCATGTATAATACATAAGGGGGGATATGATCTCCATGTATAATACATAAGGGGGGGATATGATCTCCATGTATAATACATAAGGGGGATATGATCTCCATGTATAATAAATAAGGGGGGGGATATGATCTCCATGTATAATACATAAGGGGGGATATGATCTCCATGTATAATACATAAGGGGGGATATGATCTCCATGTATAATACATAAGTGGGATATGATCACCATGTATAATACATAAGGGGGGGATATGATCTCCATGTATAATACATAAGGGGGATATGATCTCCATGTATAATACATAAGGGGGGATATGATCTCCATGTATAATACATAAGGGGGGATATGATCTCCATGTATAATACATAAGTGGGATATGATCACCATGTATAATACATAAGGGGGGGATATGATCTCCATGTATAATACATAAGGGGGATATGATCTCCATGTATAATACATAAGGGGGGATATGATCTCCATGTATAATACATAAGGGGGGATATGATCTCCATGTATAATACATAAGGGGGGATATGATCTCCATGTATAATACATAAGGGAGATATGATCTCCATGTATAATAAATAAGGGGGGGGATATGATCTCCATGTATAATACATAAGGGGGGGATATGATCTCCATGTATAATACATAAGGGGGATATGATCTCCATGTATAATAAATAAGGGGGGGGATATGATCTCCATGTATAATACATAAGGGGGGATATGATCTCCATGTATAATACATAAGGGGGGATATGATCTCCATGTATAAATACATCAGTGGTTCATATAGTGAACTCAGTGTAGAGCTATCACCCTGAGGTCATCACAGAGGACAAGGGGGACACTCTTTACCTCTGGAGGAAAATAAATTTAATCTTCAAACACGGAAAGGTTTCTTCACAGTGACAGCTGTGAAAATGTGGAATAGACTCCCT